TATCCATTGTAGACGGAGCGCGATTCCCGCTGCTTGAGCCTCTGTGGCCGCCTGGAGGATCGCGTGGATAATGCGTTGCCCTGATTTGTTACCTGGGTTCTGGATTGCTTGCAACGCTGATTTGCTGTCGCAGAGGATCGTTGCCGTTGTTGTTCCGTTATGTTCCATTCTTGGCCGCTGATGGCTGATCTTGAATACTGTGCTGACAGCGTAGAAAATGCCTATCAGCTCCGCTACGTGAACCGACCACCGGTCCATGGGTCCCACTTGGATCTGCTGGGATTCGATGACCTCTAGGTCGTTGTCGAGGGCAACGACCGCAGCACCTAGGTGGCCTTCACGTCCCGAGGCGTCAGAATAGACCACGATGGCGGACGTGGAGCGAACGGTGTCTGCCCGCACCCTTGCCGTCTCTCAGTCTGAGTGGATCTCAATTTCTGAGAAGGACTCGGTTCGCCACGGTGGTAGCGGTCGTGGGTCGATTGTCTCCAGTTCATCTACTCTTTCGAGCTTCATGGTCTTCAGGGCTTCCGCCAGTGGAAAACGAGCGTACGACCCGATGTTGTCCCTACGTCTTTGGGCTCGCCGCAGTGTGTCCCACATGGGGTGGTCGCGCGGCAGAGTGTGGAGGTTTGCGATGGTGTTCTGCGCTCGGTGGCGGAGACGGAGGTGCGTTGGTAGAATGTGTGCTTCGACTTCCAGGGTGGCAGTGGCCACCGTCTTGAAAGCTGATAGTGTGCGGATCAACACCATCCTCTGGACCGAGTTCAAATGTCGGAGATGAGTCTTGTCTCGCAGAGGGTCGTGCCAGACCGTTGACGCGTAGTCCACGACCGGTGTGACGCAGGCTTGGTAGAGCTGTCGCATCTGCTCAGGGCGCAAATGCCGCAGTCGACCCAAAGCGATGCTGACCTTGGTTGCGCGTTTGATCGCTTGCTGGATGTGGTCCTTCCAGCGGAGCTCGTGGTCGAAGATCACTCCTAGCAGTTTGGCGGTGGACGACGGTTCGACTGTCTTCCCGTTCATCACCACTCGGCCTTGGAGCTGCTCGCTTCTCTTCCTGGTGATGTGGATGAGTTCGGTTTTCTCGGCTGCGAAACAAGACCCGGTGCGTTGGGCCCATGCTTCAATGCGCGGGATGTCTTCAGACTGAATCTTGGTCAGGTTGTCATCGGCTGAGCGACCTACTCGCCAGCGGAAGTAATCATCGATAAAGGCGGATGCCCCGCCGTGGAATGTGACGGCTTGGTCGACAAGGTCGGAGTTGAAAAATGCAAATAGGATAGGCGACAGGGGAGAACCCTGTGCTAATCCTGCGTTCGCCAGCGGCGTCGTCTTAGTGCGAAAGTCGTCGAATCCAATGCTTGCGTGGCGGTCGCTCATAAAGCTCGCGATCCATTTTCTCGCCACGGTTGGGATTTTCCTTGCTCGAAGGCAAGCGTCTAGGCTCACTTTGTTGACTCCGTTGAAAGCACCTTTCAAGTCAAATGCCACCAGCGTTAGCACTTTCTGTTTATACCACGCCCGGTCAATCGCGTTGGAGAGAACCAAGAGGGCTTGTTCAGTGGTTCTACCTGGTCGCCCTCCGAACTGGGTGTCCGGAAGTAGACCGTGTTTTTCTGCAAGATACGACAATCGTCGTGCCATTACCGCCTCAAGGAGTTTACCTAGTGTGTTGAGGAGTGAGATCGGGCGATAAGCCCCAGGGACCGAGTAGTCTGGTTTCTTGGGTTTCCGCAGCACCACAATCTTCGCGCTTCGCCATCGCATCGGGTGATACCCTAAGTTAATGGACGCGGCAAAGATTTCCGTTATCTGTTTCTTGAGGTATATCCACAATTGTTTCCACACGAGCATTGGTATCCCATCTTCGCCCGGTGCTGATGATCCCTTTGCAGCTTTTAGGGATCGCTGGATCTCTAGCTCGGTGATGGTATACCACGGGAGTTCTGGAGGCGTCCGGGTGTGCCAGCCCTCGTCGGGTTCGTTCATTTGCGGGAAGAAGGCGCCTAGGAAAGCCTGCGCTTTCTCCTCATTCTCGATGAGCTCCTCGGAGTCGACGTGCAAGGCCGGCACGCATCCCCAGGCCTCTTGTGGTTTCATATAGGTGGCTGCTTTCCAGAGCTTCCCTTCCCCGGCTTCGTCAAGGAACTGTTTCCAATGTGCCGCCTTCGCCTTCTCGATAGTCCGGGTCCATAATCGCCGTTTGTGTTGCATCTCTCGAAAGAGGGTCGCGGAGCGGGCGTCGTGTCGCCCAATATCTGCACAGCTTTCCTGCCACGTACGGCGTAGTTGATTGACCTCGGTTTGCTGTATTTTGAGAGCTGGGGTGAACCAGCGTTTGGAGTATGGTGTTGGTCGCAGGTCAGGAGTGTGTCTATCCACCGCTCTAGCCGTCGCCTCTGTGAGCTTTCCGACAATCTCGTCCAGTTCCGGCCTCGTCTTCACCTCCTTCCATGGGCCCAGTTGTCGACGTACGTCTTCGGCAATCTTGTGCCAGTCCGCACGGTCGTAGGCTTTCTTAGCCTTAGTGGTGGGCTGGCGTTGGGGTCTTAGGTTCCATTCTGAGTATGTTGCGCGGTGGTCTGACCCATAGTTCTCATGGTAGAGATGGCACTTCATGAGCAGGCTTGGTCGGTTCGTTACCGTCTGGTCAATGGTGGTGTTCTTTCCCGGGTCATTGAGGGGCCAGAAAGTTGCTGTCCCTCGCGGAAGGCAACCCTGGAGGTTGTGCGTCTGAAAGAAGTTGACTAGTTCGCTCGCGTGTTCGATAAACTGTGGCTGGATGTGATTGCCGCCCCACATCGGATGATGGCGGTTAAAGTCACCCGAGAGAATTACGCTTGTTGTCTTTTGGGTCTCCTGGGTATTGATTATGATTGTGTTCTGTATTGCTGCGAGGGCTGGTTCTGCCGACGCCTCACCCGGCGTAAATAGCGGGACACATGAAAGGTAAACCGAAAAGATAAGATACTGAGCATCGGCTGTCCATATCTTGATTGCCGTGACGTCTGGGTGGTCGCAGGTGATCTGTCGATGGAAAGAGGTTGAGACTTTACGGTTGACATAGATCAGGCTGCGAAACCGACCTGCATCGGTCTCGGCAGACGGTCGGTATAGTCGCCAGGCGCTGTGGTTAACGTGTGCTTGGTAGGTGGTGATAGACGGTTCTTGGATCAGGAGTATATCCAGGTCCTGGTTTTGGTGGTCGTTGATAAGCGCTTCCATCCTCGGCCCCGATTTCATGATGTTTAACTGTAAAATGCGTAGGTTTGTCTCTAACATTGGGAGTTAGAGGTTGCCGGCGTTCGGCACTGGCGATCGCTGGTTGGGTGTTCACCACCGCAGTCGAGGCATCGGGCTCTCACGCCCGGGGGACAGCGTTCTCTCTCGTGTTGGCCAGCGCAATGCCCGCATCGAGGCGTTTCTTTACATGACCATGCGAGGTGTCCAAATCGTTGGCACCGGAAGCATCTCTTTCTTTTTAGTTCGCAGCGTTCCACGCTATCGATGAATCTCCGGCCGGCCAGAAAGCCCTTGTCTAGAATATGGTCAACTCCTTCCGCGGAGTCGAACCAGATACCGAGGGACGCGTGATGCCCCAGAGCCTTGTCTTTCTTCTTCAGCCACGCAATCTCCTCGATCCGGAGTCCTCGGTCGGTGAGGTCGTTGTCTTCCATGATTTTCTCAATTGCCTGTGTGTTTGCATTTTCGAGGTCAAAGTCCTCAGTCGGGGTCCGGTGTACCACGACGCCGAACCGCGCCTTGACCAGTTTCGTGTTGTTTCCTAGCTCGTTCAGCCATTCTGTGCTGTTGCGGGCCGCTTCCGCTGACTTTGTGTCTTTAAACCGGATGACATATCCAGTTTTGGTGGTACCAACCCCGGCTACTTGGGCGTCTTGTGTGGACGGTGCGTTCGACAGTGCCGTGCGGATTTGGATGTTTGCGGTCTCCGTTGGGAGATATCGCCCAAAGGTGTTTGGTCCGTTGCTTTCATTGTCTCTGGGGTCCACAAAAAGCGCGCTGAGTGCTGATTCGGACGCAGTCTTGGTCCTTGTCTGGGCGCTGGTGGTTTGGTTGAGAAGGTGGGTGGCTCGTTGCTACTGTGGCCCATGAGTTTGCGGCCTGTGGTGGAGGGAGGGCGTCAATGTGCGCCCGCAAGGCTCGAACTTCCTCGTAAAGTTTCTCGTTCTGCGTGTGGAGGACGTTCTGGTCGTGCTTCACTTCTAGCAGTTCGTTCTTGGTGGATTGGATGAGCTCGGTTTGGTAGGCGATCATTTCTTTTAAGCCTTCGATCAGTCGGCAAATTTCCCGGGTCGTGACGCGTCCATTGTTGTCTCCGGAACTCGTGGTCACGGGTCGTGTTGCGGTGGTGTGGCCATCGCTAGGCCGAGCCTGTCTTCTGGTCCGAGGCGCAGCGGTTGGATTAAAGTTGTCCAACGCGTTGGTCGTTGTCATTCCAGGCGTGCGAGGGGGCTCGGGCCCTCCCGCATGTGGGTCCGCCATCCCTTCCGGTCGGTACACAACAATTTCTCCGGTACAGGATCTTTTCTCTGGGTGCACTCTGCTTACAGGAGCTCTTTTCTTTGGTTGGGCCCCCCTATGGAGTGTATGCAGCGGATGGTTCCCTTATACTACAGGATGGATCGAAATTAGTTTCACCACTTTGTTCTGAGAGAACCTATCTCGAACCCCAGTCCGAAACACGCTAATCCAGTTCCGACTTAGCTCTGATTCAACTATTGAATCGTATTGAAATGGATTATCACGTGCTCAAATGTCACTGATTTACTTGTAATTACTCTTACCAAGAATACTAGCATCTGGCAGCCTCCGGGCTTGTTGATGCCTTCTATTTGTCTCAATATTTTGGTAGCGATGCTTAATAGAGCGATCAGGTCATTTCATCTCGAGAAGTTCGCACTAAGTCAATATGTGATGGGACATCGGTTTGGGAAGTATAGCAATGTAATCATGAAACCTCTAAGCATATTTATTATCTAAGTATCCATATCTAGCTCCTTCGCCCCTGTTCCATTGTAGTTTCCAATACCTTCAGCGCATTGTATCGTTTCCATTTCCCATTCCATCAATGTTTCAGAATGAGATAAAACAGTCGGGTGATTTAGGCCGAGGGTTTGCTTCTGCTTGGTTAAGCAATCTCGTAGTAAGTCGATCGCTTCGGCATCGTGACCTGAAGATTTCCAGGTGAAAGCGAGATGAGCCATGCTCGTTAGCGTGTCGGGATGGTCCGCGCCAATTCTCGTCTTAAGAGTCTCCATGACCTGGACCTCGAGTTGCTCCGCCTCTTCCCATCGGCCCTGGTCCCAATATATCGCCGCTAGGTTGGCCATGCTTGTCAGCGTGTCGGGATGGTCCGCACCGATTTTCTTCTTTCGAGTCTCTATAACCTGCACTTGGAGATGTTCGGCTTCCTCCCTCCGGCCCTGGTCCCAGTATGTCGCCGCTAGGTTGGCCATATTTATTAGCGTGTCGGGATGGTCCGCGCCGAGGTTCGTTATGCGAATATCCATGACCTGCATTTGGAGTTGCTCGGCCTCCTCCCACCGGCCCTGGTCACGGTACGTCACCGCTAGGTTGGCCATACTCGAAAGTGTATCGGGATGATCTGCGCCGATTTTCGTCTTGCGAGTCTCTATGACCTGCACCTCGAGATGCTCTGCCTCTCCCCATCGGCCCTGGTTCCGATACGTCGCCGCTAGATTTGCTATGCTCGAAAGCATATCAGGATGGTCCGCGCCAATTTTCTTCTTACGACTCTCCATGACTTGCACGTGGAGCTGTTCAGAATCCTCCCACCGACCCTGCTCCCGGTATGTCACCGCTAGATCAGCCACACTCGAAAGCGTGTCGGGATGGTCCGCGCCGAGGTTCGTCGTGCGACTCCATATGACTTGCACCTGGAGCTGCTCCGCCTCTCCCCACTGCCCTTCTAGTCGGTAAGCATCTGCTAACATCGCAGTGCTCTTTAGGGTGTCTTCATCTTCAGCGCCGCCGATCTTCATTCTCTGATTCCTTGACATAGCTGCCATATCCCTTGCATCGGAAATGTTGCCACATTCTCGCGCATACCACGCCCCTCTGTAGAGCAGTGCAGCCCAATTTCGGAGTGAGTCTAGGGATTTCGGCCGATGTAAAACGGCCGACCTAACATGAGGAAACAGTGACCGGCATCTCTCCCAATTTTCGTATTCACCGGTCGGGAATTCACCAACGAGATTGCTAATAAAACGCTCTTTCCACTCCTCCTCCTGCCCATGAGTTTTCAGCCACGTGCGCACTGTTAGCTGCACTAGCCGATGCATCGTGAACATTGTGCTATCTTCGCCAGTATCAACAAAGGAATAGTCTCTGAGAGTCGCAATATCGCTCTCAAAATCGTCATCTGCATCGCATTCGGACGAGCAGTCCGAATTTAATGCAATTGATTTGCTCGTGACGTCTTCCAGACGGTGTTTTTCCGTGTCTGAAACACCCAAAAGATTCTCTGAGATCCCCTGCCAGTCGAAAAAGCTCATGAGAGACATTAAATCAGCCGCAGACCGCCTGGTCCGTCGGATATGGTCGAATGATATTTGCCAAGTTAGTAAAATAGAATTTTTTGCCTCCCAGTCTCGATGGGTGTGTTGTCCCTCGTGATGAAGAAGTTTCGTGGCTTGATGATCACTCTGCCGAAGCTTTTTAAGGTATTGCGATGCCGAGCATCGGGGTGAACGGTGGGTGATGTAGCTAGCCGCCTGAACAATCGCGAGTGGCATGAACTCAAGTTCTTCGACTAGCTGAACCAAATCCTCTTTCTCTATACATCCACCAAGCTTCTTCTGCATTAGAACTAGCGCCTCGGCTGCATCCATTGGTCGCACGTCGATCAAATTCCCTTTATGGCCAGCGATTTCCGATGCTACTGCTTTGTTCCGGCTCGTGATAATTATAGAGCCATTCGTGCTTTCGAGAAGGTACCTCAGCGGTGGTCGCGTCGAGGTATAGTACTGGGTGTTTGCTTGAGCCTCTGTTCGAATTTTCAACGGTGTGCGGAGAAGTTCGTCATCATCGACACTATCAAGAACAAGAATCCACTCTCCAATCTTCCCATCTTGCAACCAGTTCCCAAAGAGTTGGAATATACTAGCGTTGCGGTCCTGACGCCCGGGAATCTTAGCACGTTCGGCAAGATTGCGGAGACTTTCCTCGCAGCGCGCCGCATTACTCGCATGAACCCAGAAAACCCAGGTGTCGGGCGATTGCTGCCGTACTCGGTGGCAGTATTCGACGACGAGTCGAGATTTCCTGTTGCAAAGTCAGCCTTGAACGAGCCGCCAAGGGCTGGATTGACCTAACCCAATGCCCCCTAGACCAACGAGAACTATTGTAGACCCCGAGATCGACGACTTTTCGTGGATTTGATCAAAAATTCCATCCCGGCTGACGAAGTCTAGATCATGCGGGAAAGGTACGGTCGACAGAGGCTCTGGGCGGGGTTCTGATTGATCTAGTAGAGGTGCCGCTGTTAATGAAGGACCAACGCCAACACTGTTAGGAACTCACCCCCGCTAACATTTATCACCCCATTGTTGATGCCCACCTGGGAACCTGAATTCCTATCACCAAAGTTTATGGAGTTCATACTCCACGATCAATGCATACATATAATGCTGTGTCGGGTGGAACAAAGGTGACGGATTTCTCAATCATTGATGCCCTTCCTCAGCTTGACTGTCAGGTGACTTGGGCGCTAAAAATTCGCCTTTCATTGGCCGAACATGCCTATAGGCCCAGAATTTAGGCCCCCAACCCCCGCAGGTTACTGAAGCGGTGATCTTCGACTCTTATTGTATCAATGCTCTAGAGCCTCAGGAGACCTTACGGGCCTAATCCAGAAGCTATTTAAGCTGTTATTTACGACATGTACTGGATTACTGCCAAGAATGTGGATCAGGGGCAGAGTAACCATAATAGTTTTAGCTTGTTTCGAAAGAGGGTTCGAGATAGAAACTCTGTAAAGAAATGGTGAATCTGATTTCGATCCATCCTGTACCCTTACGACATTCCAGACTGTAACAGAAGATCCTGTAATGCTCGGACGTTGTGATTAAGATTATTCTGATATAAAATTGCGACGTTGTGTACCGAGCGGGAACTCACCCCTGACCGATGGCGGACCCACACGCGGGAGGGCCCGAGAGCCCTCCCACAAACACTCAAGAAACCACCGACAGCTTCACTGGGGAAGACCCGGCAACCAGAACCACCATCGAGAACCGTAAGCGAACCCGGAGTGGAGATGCCTTCGGTCCTTCGGATCCAGCCGGTCGAATCACCACCAAGGAGGTGTGGAAACTGATCGGCACACTGAAGGACGTCATTCACCGTCAAACCGCGACCATCGCAGCAACCCAACAGGAACTCCAAGAGGTCAAGCACAACCAGCATGTCCTCCAGGAACAGAACGAGAAGCTACACGAGGAGGTGAAGGCGCTACGGACACAAATCGAGACCAACCCTCCGGCGACAGCAACCAAAACCTGGGCCGCCATCGCGGCGGAGGGCGGCAATAACTCCTCCCTGGTGAACCCCCAACGACCCGAGAGAGACCAGGATTGCGTCAGGGTCAGCACTCAGAGGACCTTTGTGGACCCACGAGACAATGATAATAGCGATGGAAACACGTTCGGACGATATCTCTCCACCGATGCCGCCAACAGCCATATTCGTGCCGCGTTGCAGAGCGACACCGCGACCCAAGACGCGCATCTAGCCGGGATTGGCACCACCAAAACCGGGTACATCATTCGATTCAAGAACACAGCGTCAGCCGAGATGGCCCGTGCCAACACAGAGTGGCTACACAAGCTGGGCAACAACACGAGGCTAGTGAAACCACGATTCGGGGTCGTTGTACACCGGACTCCCACCGAGGAATTTGATATTGAGACAGGGGCTGCCCAGGCGATGGAGAAAATCACCGCGGACAACGACCTAGCGGTACACGGGGTACACATCGAAGAACTAGCCTGGATGAAAGCGAGGGATAAGGCCCTGGGGAAGTTCGCTTCACTGGGAATCTGGTTCGATTCCCCAGAGGGGGTGGAACACATGCTTCGGAAAGGGTTCCTTGTCAGCGGGCAACTCATCACCAGTGTAGAACGACGCGAAATCAAGAAGAAGAGGTGCTTCCGGTGCCAACGGTTCGGCCACCTAGCGTGGTCATGCAAGGAAACACCTCGATGCGGACACTGCGCAGGTCAACACGAGAGGGAGCGATGCCCACCTGGGGTGAGAGCCCGGTGCCTGGATTGCAGCGGTGAACACCCCACGGGCGATCGACAGTGCCCAACACCATCAACCTCCAACCCAACCAAATGCTAGAGGAGAATCTCCGCATCCTACAGTTGAACATGATGAAATCGGGGCCGAGAATGGAGGCGCTGATCAACGATCCCCAGAGCCTAGAGCTGGACGTTCTGCTGATCCAGGAGCCGTCCATTACCACCTACCGCACACATGTCAACCACAGCGCCTGGCGGTTATACCGACCCACGATTCAGCCCGACGCCGCTCCAGTTCGCAGCTTGCTCTACGTCAATCGAAGGATCTCTACTTCTTCGCACCGTCAACTGGGGTGCAACCACCCAGACGTCACGGCCATCAAGATCTGGACAGCCGAGTCCCAAACGCTGGTGTTTTCCGTCTACATACCTCCAGTACCACTTTTCACGGGCAACGACTCGTCAGCATTACCAGCCCTGTCGGCGATACAACGCTCGATCACAACTGCCACACAAAATGAGCAGCGCAAGACTAGCATCATTGTTTCCGGCGATTTCAACCGACACCATCCAATGTGGGGCAACAACTATATCGCTCCTAGATTCATTGAAGACGCCAGCGACCTGATCGATTTCTTCCAAGCCCACAACCTCCACAGTTGTCTCCCTCGAGGGACGGCGACCTACTGGGCGTTCAACAACCCCGGACAAAACTCGACCATTGACCAGACGGCGACAGATAGCCCGGACTTGCTGGTCAAATGCCATCTGTATCACGAAAACTATGGATCCGACCATGGGGATGCGTTGAACAGCGTGTCGAGTCTGCTGGGAGGCTCAACCGAAGGTGAGAGAGGTAATCCAGACACCGTCTCGAGGGCGAAGACGGTTGAGGCCGTATTGGACTTCGCCGAGGCGTCACAGAGGTTTCGCAGTCGTGCGCCACAAGGGCAGCCTAATAGCGGGAGCGGCAATGGGCCAGGGTAGGCCGTGACGAGGCTCTAAGATTCAGTCAGAAAGTGGACCACTCTACATGTACTTCATTCATGATATATAGTTGTTGTATCCTGCATATCGTTCGCGAAGTTGGATTCTAAACCACAACCCACTAGGCTGGGTACGGATTCGTATTTTGGTCTAGTGGGGAAATCAACTGGTTATGAGCCCGAGTTGCACCGCCTTTGAGCGCGCCGGTTCGATCCTCACAGTTCGCGTTCTTGAGCACCCAGAGCCACCAGAAGACGGCCTATGATTGGCCACACAGCCAGGCAGCAGAGCTTCATACGCGCCCCCAGCCAAGCGTCTATGGTTTACGGGGGAGGGTTGGATTCTAAACCACAACCCACTAGGCTGGGTACGGATTCGTATTTTGGTCTAGTGGGGAAATCAACTCGCGAGGGGACAGGGTAAATGAATCCTACTACTACTACTACTACTTCCTGTAGTAAATGACTATTAGCTGAGGCCTACGCCATAGGTTGCCGAAAAGGCGGTTGTTCGCCCTCAAACAACAGACCCCTACACAGTATGTTGCCGAGGTTGTCTGTTGAAAGCCCAGGAACCAGTTACTTGGCGACTATGCCGCATAATTCGCAAGGCACACTATAGAATTCAACGGAATTCCATTCCATTGCCGTAAGCGTTGCGTAATTTACATACCAGGATACAATACCATACTTGGCGGGTTTTATGATGTCCATCAATTTGATGCGGCCTGCTAAATATTTGAATTTGCGCTAAGGCCTTGGCGGTGGGGCTAGAAAAGAGCGATAAAGAGTGTAATTGTCAAGCCGATTTCGAGAACGACTGTACTGATTTTTATGCCACTATAGAAGCAGCCGTCACCACTGTGAAAAATACCCGTTGAGAGTCCTATCGCTGGATCGGAGATAAGACCACGTCACGACGACGCGTGATCCGTCTTGCGCCTCAACCTCACCCACCGCCCTCACACCATGAACGGCGGTGTGTGTGAACCTCTCGCCGTCCCCATCGCAAGGTCTCATCCCATTACGGCTGTAAATTTTCCTGTCACAGGTGGTTCATCACGCGCCTTTGGCTCTCAGAAGTTGCCCAGTGCACCCAGCGCGCCTTCTTCGAAGCGACAGCCGGAGAGTGCGACGAACTGGATACATCATGTCAACACAGCATGAATGGTGACTGCATTGACGAAGACAACTGTAAGTGATCTCGTCGGTAAGATATGACCACAAGCTAATTGATCGTTTCGTCTCCAGCGAACGTTCTGCGAACTTTATGAACAGGTAAGTTATTAAATCTCGTCCAAGTGGTAAGCCTTGCTGACTCGGATCGTACAACAGCGCCCCTCATATTCCCGTCACTCGAGTCGAATGCGAAGCGAGCAATCTTATCTGCTCAGGCTCCCCTATACTGTTGCGATTGCAAGCTATCTGTCCCTTCCTCATGACTGTTGTAGTTCAGAGCTATAAATTGACTTATTATCTCAGAAGGATACATGAGCCTATATATACAACAATGAGCCAAGTTGATTGGAAATCAACTTGGTCTCTGTATAGACACTTCGGAGCTAATTCCGACGGTGCGGCCTGGTTCCTGATCTGCGCCAGCCTCATATCACAACACAACTTATTAACCGTAGGCGAGTTCCACCGGAACTAACCATGCATGTTACAATCATCCTCATAAGCTACGCATACGAAAATGCCCTCAGAATATGTCGTAGAGATAATTGTGTCTGTCAAATACCCGGCTCGAAACTGACATCACTCATTCACCGATAGTCCTCCTTCAAGAACTATTGATCTTTTATATTCGCTAAACCAACTCACCATTTGGGACAAGCTCACGTGCAGATAATCTATCCATGGATCTTGTAACTTTCTACATTTATCTCTTTCGCATACGGAGCATAGACTCTTTGCTGTTAGACCTTGTTCCATTAATACCTCAGTGCTCTTCCCGCCAACTCAACATTCGTCTTCTCATCTTCTCAAATTATCCAGGATGGCACGTCCAGTGCGTCAGGCTCATGCTTACAACTCTAATGCATCCTTGCAGCAGGTGGAATCGGACAGTCGGACCTGGAATCTAATACCTTATTATCTAGATATAGTCATGTACTGAGGTATTTCACCAAAGAAACAGAGAAATGCTCTTCCATAAACATTGCCACATACGGAAGAATCCAGAAAGAAAAATCCAGAAAGAAAAATCCAGAAATATAAAGACAAATAAATTTGAATACGAATTCTTATCAGCTTTGCGTAGGGTTCGCGTTCTGAAAAGGTTTCCTCTCAGCTCGCGGTCTCGTCATCCTGCTACAATCGACATATACTTCGCCAACGCTGCAGTACCGTGCCAACACCGCCTTCTCCTAAAAAAGGGCGCCGCTCCCAATCTGCCTTAATGAGGGCAACCAAATGAGGAATTCGTTCAGAGTTTACCAGGGCAAACTTTCCACGCATCTGCTGTGAAAACAAGAGTCTCCTCCTGACGCAGCTCTTCAGGATCGATGTATATATCCATCCCAATCTCATCGCTTGCAATATTGTAAACCCTGATGATTAGATAGATGTTTTCCACCTCAAGCTGCTCTGCTAAAGAGTATGATTGCATCTGCAGTATTGATAGTCTTAGCAGATAATATCACCATGATCTCAAACAACACTCACCCTCGCGTATTGACTGTTGCTCATATAAAATGGGGTTTCAGAGAGCAGTGTTGTCGTCTTGACTTCAATGTAGTAGGTTGGTGTAGACTGATACCGCGGTGATGATGGAATATAACCCTCATTTATGAGGATAGACGTCAGGACCGAGCTCGTGTCGTGATATACAATATCAGCAGTCTCTGATCCATTCCAAGGGGTAAGATCATGGTAGTCCGGGTGCACATTGACTTCTTTGCGGATCCTGCTTTTCCAATTCTGTCGGCCAAACCCTGGCAGGCCTAGTTGCAAAAGACGCTCGAAGACCTAATTGTTTCAAAGGTGAAATTAAAATTCGGACGAACCAAAATTTCTGGATGCAGTTACTAACGTATAGCTCACCCATAGCACCAACCTTGATATCACGAGCTAATCGGTTGGATGATATAGAGGAAAAGACATTTGCTGGCAAGTGACTTGTGATATTCCAGTAGCTGGTGACTGGTGTGCGTAGGGTTCTGTGGAAATTTGCAGCTCGAGCTTGATCAGTGGCATTCGTAAGTGCCTGGACATAACAGTTCTGGTCAATAGTAACAGGTAATTCGTTGTCACCAAAAACAGCCAAAGAATATGATACATGGCGACGAGAACCAGTGGAGATCAAACTTGAAAGCGACTCATCTGTATTTGATACCCACCGAACAGCTCGGCTGTTTGAACTCTCGGGGCTTATAACAGGGCTTTCTTGGATGGCTGAACTGCGTAGTTGACTTTGAGAAGTCAGTGCTAAATTTTCATCTGGGCTGTGCCCGGAAAAAGTATGTGAACTGATGGAGATGGTATCGGAATCCGCTCTCTCTGGAGATTGTGGGTGCTCTCCTTCGCCATCTGGGTAAGAAATTTTCAAAACTCCGTCATCATCGAGAACACTTTCAAGGATTGTTGGACTTGTTGTGAAGACTGTGCGAAACCTTTGATGAATTCCATCCCCTTCGATCCCGAGATAGGTTGCCAGGACTTTGGGAAGGTCTGTCCGATAGCACTTTTCCAGGTCACGTGTATTTCTCGGTATGAAAATCTGCAGAGCACCATCGCGGACCTCGAGATGAACTAGCCCATTACCAGTCTCCACGATCGCCTCTGTTTCGCCATGTTGTAGAACGAGAGTCTTCAAAAATCCATCACTTTCGTAGAGATTGGCAGTTCGCAATTGTGCAAAAACCCGAGACTGGTTTGCGTGGAGCTGAACTGCGTCGTAGTTGATAGCGCATCTTTGGTTTATATCAGATATGTCAACAGCTATATCTGGGAAAGGCAGGCGCATACCTGTAGAGGTACTTTGCTCTTTTTCGAAATGAGTTTGTCAGACGAGAGGATATAACAATGGCAGGATTAACAGCCTCCGTCGCCAACTTAACCCGTCGAGACATATAGCGAGCCTCTAATCCCAAAGAAGAAAGAAAAGGCTGAAGTCTTGCTGTTTGCGCAAGGGTAAAATCTAACATCGGGACTTTGTCCATAAATGCGGCCTCCAGCTCAATTCTATCCGCAATGAAAAATCTGTCGCCTTGATGTGCCAGATGGCGCGACCCGTCCTCATATCTCACCGGCAAATAAGCTAATTCGTTGAGGTCATTCATCTGCTTTTCCGAGAGATACATTCCATTCATATGATGCATGGCCTCTTCAATATCGTTGGTCGCTGTGCATGCGGACGATGACAGTGCTAGACCTCGCCACAACCGGTTCATGGGTAGGCAAAGCCCAACCGCACCCCCCAACCGCGCTAAATATGGTTAGGCAGAATGCCAACCGCACCGCACCGCAAAACCGCATGGTTAGACCGCGGTCAACCGCTAAAAAACCATTTTGCATAACTGACTTAATTAGGCCATGCCAAACTGCATAAATTTGCTGATTCATATTAATAAATTACTGTTATCTAAAACTGTTTTGGTTTGCAAGGGTCAACGCAATGTTCCCGGTTATATTCATATATCATCGCATAAAAATTTCAGGAAACTTGATTGTGTCGTGTAGAACGTGAGTTTGAGATTGTATTTTACCAGGCTTTAAAATATCCAAATATTGCGGTGGGCGATGGTGGCAGGAGTCGTCGATAACATATTATCTGGAAGTAGAAATATATATTGGCCATTAAATTACAAGTAGTGCGCATTCACCATCACAACACATTTCTATTATCATAACACATAAAGATTCCCCCAAGATAATTGAGGAGCAACCAGAGTCTTGTCTTCTCTTTTAGTTGAATCAGCCTATCCTAATTCATTAATATCGTTTGTTTGATTTTTGCGAAATTCCTTTCTAGAAACCAGGGGTGGTGAGTTAACCCTAAATCGCCCGTAATCGCGGGTTGGTGCGGTTTTCTTTCTACTTAACCGCGGGTAAACCGCGGTTCACCCGCGGTCAACCGCATGTCTGTAATTATCGTAACCAATTAGCATATAATAAAAGGAAATATGGGGGTAAATTTTGTGATAGCTTCGCCTGTTTTCTAAACCGACGGACCATTTTAGTCTAAACAACTCTACCTACAATTTAAAAAATCTTCTGTAAGTTTTCTACCCCCTTCATCCTTCAGTATTTCCACACAATATTTCACTATGCCTCAAATATCTGATGCTTACCATTCGTCTTCGTACGGCGGGGACATACCAGACCTGAACTTCCTTACATCAGATGAAAGGCTCTTGGATCTTCCCTATAGCCAAGAAACCTTGAATTCGGTATCGGACGTTGATTTCCTTCGATCTCAAACACCGCCTCTGATTCCCTCCTCCCTCGATCGCGTCGGACCAGATCGAAGGAAGCTTTTCGTCCTCTATACCGATATGGCAAATGATGACTTCGTGAAGTGGTGGTTACAAACCGACTTTGGAAAGAAGAAGAGGATACGCTGGGAGACATCAAGGCATCAATCCGACATATGGCAGTATTTCGAGCAAGTCGCATCAAGTAGCGACGGTGCACCTAAAATAATGTGCAAGAGGTGCCATAAAGTACTCGAGCATCCACAGACTAGTCGCAATGGAACCTCCACCATGAGAACCCATATTAAAGGCGTCACTTGCCAGCAGACAATGGACAACAAGGGGGCTCCAAAACGAGATATCAAACGGTTAATGCAAGACGCTGTATGATTTATGGATCTTCTCTTATGTGAACCTTCTAATACATATCTTTGCTAGGCTCACCATGCGCCGAGAGCTTCTCTATTCACTCAAGAACTCTGGGAGGAGCAGCTTGTGAGCTTTATTGCTGTGTCCCGACTTCCATTTCAGCTAGTTGAGCACCCACAGTTTCGAAGCCTGATCAAGATGGCCCAACTTGCCCCGACATGTCCCGAAGTCCCCTCTGCAAAAACAACCCGCCGTCGGTTACAAAGTACTGTGAAGGAGCGACAGCAGAATATCCTTAAAGGGCTTCCCGATGGGGCAAAGCTCTCAATTGCATTGGATTGCTGGACATCTCCCTTCCAGCAAGCGTTTTTGGCTATCACAGGCTATTTTCTTGATAAAGACTGGGAGTATCGTGAGATCCTCCTTGGCTTCGAACCGCTTCATGGAACCCACTCTGGTGCCAACCTGAGTACAGTTCTTTTCGACCTCTTTCAACAACACAAGATCACAGAGCGAGTACTTGCAATAACGACGGATAATGCATCAAATAATCAAACACTGATGTCAAGTATTCACGAATCAGTGCAATCGCTAGGTGTTGCCGAAAATGCGACTATTGTTCGGACTCCGTGTATTGCCCATGTGATTCAACTCAGCCTCAACCAACTCCTAGGCAAGATGAAGGCCATTCCGAAGAATGAAACGACAGATACAGTCTGGTCGGAAGCTCGGTCTCATTTAGTTAGAGTGGATGCAAGGGAGCAAAAGCGAGAGATTGTTGACACCTTAAACAAGGTAGGATATAGATCATCGTTTTCCTTTTACCTTTCTCTACTAAATATCACCCTTTCTAGGTTCGAAATCTTGCTATCTACATTAATGCGAGCCCCCAACGCCGAGAAACATTCTGCAGTCTTCAGACTGAATTGCCAAAGCTTGTGCCAATTCAAGACGTCCGAACGCGCTGGAATTCAACCTTTCTGATGCTACGACGGGCTAAGCGACTACAGTCAACCTTCAACAGATTCTGCTCTGAATATCGACTTACTGATCTAATGCTTTGTCATGAGGAATGGCGCCAAATTGGCTACCTTCTTTGGATCACTCAACCATTCTTCAAATTTACGACTGCTCTCTCGAAAACAAAGGATGTCACGATTCATCTTGTCTTCAAGATCTATAACAATCTTTTTGAGCACCTTGATGGCTCAATTGCACAGCTTCAGCGAAAGAAACTCCCTTGGAAGCAGAATATGCTTACTGCTCTCAAAGCTGCACGACAAAAACTTCGGGATTACTACGCTAAAACCGAGGATATGCATGGTCACCTCTATGCAATTGGCACTGCTCTTGCTCCTGATACGAAGCTACAATTCTTCTCTGGCCCAAAGTGGGAGGACGGCTGGCGTGGAATCTACCGCCAAAGCATAGAAGACTACTTTGAGCCCTATAAGCAGAATCTTGCCGAAACACAGGAATCAGCACACGTTCAATCTTCAATCATGGCAAACTCAGAGATTGATATACTCCTCAATGGACCAAGTCATCAGCCATCGGGTCAACGCGATGAGCTAAAACAATATCTTGAGAGTGGTAAGTCACATATATACCCTGATATAGGGCCGAGTTCTAATAAATATCTTCAGACACAATAAGGGTTTCCCCTCGTACATTCTGGAAGGAGAACCAACAAAGATACCCAGCCCTTACAAACCTCGGTCGAGATATTCTCTCAATTCCCGCAACCGGTGCAGGCGTCGAGCGACTTTTCAACTCTGCTCGGGACATCTGCCATTACCGTCGAGGGTGATTAAATGCCTCTACTATCCAAGAACTCATGATGTTTATGTGTACGTCGAAGTTCGATGTTGAAGAAGAGCAGTTTACCTTCATGAAGGAGTATCTTTCAATCCAAGAGATCGAAGCAGCCAACGAGGAGAGAGATACGCATACTCCGGATGACCTCGACCCAAACAGTGACAACGAGGAAGATGAACAAGTTAATGAAGTTGATCGACCCGGAGTAGTTGTGTATGAACACCCTCCTACACAGCCACCACTCCCGCTTACCCAAGGTAGAAGACCAAGAACTTCCTTAGTAGGCATCAAGAGAAGTGCTCAAGAAATGAATGGGTCAGAGGATGAAGCTGAACCTCCTCTGCCTACTCCAGGAGACGGCATCCAGGTGACCCGTTACTCAACGCGAGTTTCTAAGCGTCGCGAAGAGGATAGTGATTTTGAATACTATAAATAGATTTTAGCCATCCAATTCCAATATTTAAGATATCAGATTGTTCGTTTTTAGATTCTCCTACATTCAGCACAAAAAGCCAGAAATCTAAAGACGCAGGTTGTCGTGCCTGTAACCTAAATACTTCAAAATTACAACCCAAAATGCATAAAGTATCCAGATCATGGGCTCCCAATTGTTTGACGTGTCTGTCAAACCGCGGGTGACCCGCGGTTAACCACATGCGGTTTCTCGCAGCGGCAGAACCAACCGCAGTTAGGAGAATCCCCACCCTCAACCGCGTTTTTGCGGTTACTTAACCGCACCGCAGCGGTCAGACCGCGGTTGCTGCCGAGCTCTAGTTATCTCGATCCGCACATAATCGATTCCCTGACATCCAGCCGATCATATCAAGATAAGCGGGGTATATATCAGGTGTTCATCGTCCTGCTGGCTCAACTGCCCCTTGTTGGCACAATAACATCCTTGACCAAAGTCGACCGAAACATAGCCACGATGCACTCGATGACTCTCGGTGCCCAAGAGGTGACGGAGATCCTTGCGACCGTCGGGGCGCAAAAGGGCAACATGCGCTTGGACAAAATATTCTTGAGTGCTGTCTCGGCGGGCTGCCTGTTGGCTTTTGCGTGCGGCACTGTCTTGAGTACCAATGCCACACCGTGGTTTCAAGAAAACGCACCTGGTCTGATGCGAACCATTAGCGCATTGGTCTTTCCGTATGGTTTGTGTATGATTATTCTCACGGGGGCTGACCTATGCACGGGGTCATTCATGGTATGGCTGTCCATAACCTTGGAAGACCAAGGCAAATCAATTTGTCGTCAATGAGATTGGGGCTAAAGACTTCCAGTTTACTACCATCGCAGCCCTTCATCGCCGTTTATCTTGGACCAAAATGCTGATCCACTGGGGAGTCACGTTCCTTGGCAACCTGGCAGGATCGCTGTTCGTGGTGGCTATCATATTTGGATGTGAGACAAAACCTTCAAGTACTCGGTCACTCTGCTAACTGAAAAACACAGACGGGGATGTGTTCTCGGCAGACCCCTTTCGATCAGCGGTGATCTCTTTCGCGACAAAAAAGCAGGTCGCGCCCAGTTTTCACACTGTTTTCTTAAGAGGCATTGGCTGCAATTGGCTGGTGTGTCTGGCTTGCTTCTTTGGCTTCCAGGGCCAAGAGCTAGCATCTAAAGTGATTGGAATATGGGGACCAACCTTTGCGTTCGTCTCACTCGGGCTTGACCACGTTGTCGCGAACATGACATTCATCCCACTGGCAATTTGGGTTGGAGCGCCTGAAATCACAGTGAGCCTCTATATTTGGAAAGGCATCATTCCCACATTGTTGGGCAACATCATCGGCGGGGGGCTCTTCTGCGGTATGTCAGCCTTGACAACATACAAAATATGAACTAAAACAAAACACAGGAACATACTATTGGTACATGCAGCTCCTTGACATCAATACTTTGCCCTTATATGAGACCAGGAAGAAGGGAGATAGCTCGCCCGATTCGGTATCGCAGTGTGACGGAGTCGCCGTCAAATTATATTTGAAACAATTTTCAACCTTGAAGTCACGCAAGTGAGCTGCAACCACAGCAAGGAGCATTTCAATATCACAAAAAGACATCTAGGTATCTGCTTTCGGGTTCAATAGTCGGACCAGGGGACCTGGGGCATTTCCCGTTCCCGGAAGTTGTCGATTTGTATTCAACCTTGGGGGGTTCCTAGATTGTATATTGGCCTGACCCAGTGATATCTACAGACTACCTACGGATGCTCATGGCTGTATGTGCACAAATAATCAACATCAACGCTGGACCCTGCCGTAGGGTAGTATGTTTTATTAGTAATATAAGATTGAACTCGGGCTACAGAGTATGAAGTAGTCGCGACATTGTTGATACATCTTGCGTGATGTCAATGCCAAGGTGGACCACGGAGATGCTTTCACTAGCCGACCAGCCGCGAAGGACATACACCTCGCATTGAGCCTATCCACCGCCGAGAGAAGACCGGACCTCGGGGACAAGGGAATGAATTTGGCTTCTTGGAGCGAACTTGAGTGCCTGAAAAGCAGCATGGCGGCCTCAGAATTCACCACAGAAGCCTCAGCGATGTTATTGCACTGGGCAGTACTATGAGTCACGTGACACAGGAGGAGTGAACAGAAGACATATTGAACAGAAAGGTATTATATTTCACCAAACCTGCGGTGGTCTAGTTGGTCGCACAGGGAGCCATATCTGCACCCTGATCTTCTAGATTGCCGAGCCACGGGTTCGATTCCCTGGGACCGGAAGTCGCTGGGCAAGATGTTTCGCCATCTCCCCGGCTGGGATTGTGCATTTTTTTTTATCTGAAGCAGTGAGACTCTGATGAATTTTACTTTTTTTTGGAACCTCTTTTGATACAATAAGGCCCTCGATGAAAGAAGTGTCTGTTGGAGAGAGATTGGAGAGAGATTGGAGAGAGATTGGAGAGAGATTGGAGAGAGATTGGAGAGAGATTGGAGAGAGATTGAAGTGTTCCAAGGTTTCTAGCTCTGCGGTGTACTGTATACTCCTGATGTTTTGACGTTTCCCAAAGTAGCCCCACTAGCCCCACTTGGGACTAGTGTCTGGACCCACACCTGGGGAACCATGGAAGCAGGAAGCGAGGTGCCGCAGCCGATCGTCGCGACAAGCCGTCCTTGATGTGATCTTCTGTACTTCAATCAAATGCGGAGTCTGGCACATATAAATCACGATCGCCCTACCTATTTTAAATTGGTTCGCCGTGGAGAAATACGGTATACACTCATCATCACTTGGACACAGTATCAGAAACCTCCCTTCAAATTTTATCTAAAGATGGCACCAGGCATCCTAGAGACGGCGGACGTGCCCCAACAATTGGAAAGCTCAATCAAGCTATCTGTCTTCCCAGACGGCCTCAAAACATCCGGACAACACCCTCCCGTGTACTCACAAGTGCGACCTTACGAAGATTTCCCTGTGATTCACACTGGGCCCACAGTCTGGAAGGCTGAGGACTATCGAGAGAACCCAGAACTCTGGACGCACCGTTTCAGCCCAGAGGAGATCGAGGAAATTAGCTCTGCCTCAGATGAATTCATACAGAAAGGCACGCCGTTGACCGGTATATCGAAGGTATGAAATATGAGGAAAAACTTGGGATCGCACGCACTGTTCTGACATCTCTCTAGACAAACTTCTTGCTTCCACTTCTTTCCAAGCGACTGGAGGAGCTTCGCAAGGATCTCATCGACGGAAAGGGATTCTTCCTCTTCAGAGGTCTTCCTGTTCGAGAATGGAACCTGCAGAAATGTGCCACCGCATATATGGGACTTGGTACCTACTTGGGATATTTCGTTAGTCAAAACGGACGGGGCCACGTTCTTGGCCATGTGAAGGATCTAGGCGAAGATCCCACAAAGACTGACAGAGTTCGAATCTACCGAACTAACGCCCGGTACGAGGACGGAAGAACCCCATGAGCGCAGAAGCGCAGAAGATCATTGCTAACAAACTGTCTAGTCAGTACTTCCATACCGATGGAGCTGATATTGTCGGGCTTCTTTGCATTGCAAAGTCATTGTCTGGGGGGGAGTCCGACATTGCATCTACCCATCATGTGTTTAATGTGCTCCAGGAAAGACACCCCGATGTTGCAAAGACCTTGTGCGAGCCAAACTGGTACTTCGATCGCAAGGGTGAAGTTTCAGAGGGCGAAGAACACTGGATCAAAGGCAGCATCTTCTACCTTGAACATGATGAGGCTAGTTCGGAGCCCCGGGTATATGCAAAGTTTGACCCGATGAACGTAACATCACTGGCTCGATTCAACTCAGGACCAGATGCACGTATTCCTCCCCTGTCAGATGAGCAGAAACATGCTCTGGATGTGTTTGAAAAGACCTGCGCCGAGCTATCACTGCACATGATTCTGGCCCCTGGTGACATTCAATTCCTGAGCAATGCGCAGGTTTTCCACGCACGCACTGCCTACACAGATCACCCACCGGGAGCAGTTGATGAGGATGGGCACCCTGCTCGCCGTCGGCACTTGATGCGGCTCTGGCTCGCGGCTCCCGAGTCTGAGGGAGGATGGAGACTACCCTACCATGACACCTTGGAAAAGAAACGGGGTGGTATTCAAGTGAATGATACATCGCCAGTTTGTCCACTGGATGCCGAGTAAAGACAAGTTTGGGATATTATGTGACCGAGCTTAAGTTTGATCAACGCATGCTAATTCTTCATCAATCATCCGAATTAGATTGTCCTAAATATATTGGAGTGACTTGGACAATATTGATGTTCAGAGCTCGAAGTAGACGTATGAATCAAGAATATTCACCATTAGCGTTCATGAAGCCAAGGACACTTCCGGCAAACGAAGGTATAGGCGAGACCGGGGCCGATGTAGTTAATTATGAGGAAAAGGAAACACGGGCAGCCACGATTCCACTTGCGAAGTGGTGTTTCCTCCAGCCCAGGGGAGGAGACCGGCACCCTCGGTTCCTGATCCAACTGCCGTGTCTGAGGGCTGCCAAGCCCAACCCAAATCCGACATGAACAAGGTTTGTAGCTCTTCCAGACTGGCCTGTCCGAGGCTTTGCTCGATGCAAGTGTCCCCAGGCCCTGGCTTGTTGGATGCTTCACAAGATGGGGGGTCGAAACCATCACTCTGATCATGAAGAATACTACTGGGTGCAGAGGAGGTGCGAACCGTTTCTGGGGCATGTCTTTCCGGAATAGACTTTCGGGCCATTCGAAAGATGGTTAACGGATTGAGCACGTAATCCGGGGCACTTTGTACTGGAGGATCCAAGGAGAGTTCACTGTGGTAATGTGTGAGCGAACCACTCATGCTATTGAGCTGTAGTCCTTACCTTGGATCCGCAGCCTGATTCGGCTGATATGGGTCATCTGGAATGATGTTCTGTCGGACGATCTCCGACTCAATACCAGACCTATCAAGCATCGTTTCTGCCGCCGAGCACTGAGCGAGAAGGGTAAATGAGCACTCTAGGGCCCACAGAGCCCGAGGGCTGGATGAGAAAGTTTGACTAACCAATGAGTTTGCAATAGAATTGAGGGATCCCATCAACCTGAGTCCTTTGATATTGTCTCGAAGCAGGGGAATCGTTGATACTATCAACGATTTTGTGGATTCCGATTCCGGATCGAGGATCTGAGTCAAGTGGTATATCATGATACGACAGCTGTCATAGAGGATAGTTGGAAGCCAGGAGTCCGCCAACATGCGGGGTCCATGGCGGGCAGTCTCTCCTATAATACTCGCCAAAGACCGGGCGGCATCAAAAAGAACCTGCTGGAGGTGGCGAAGAAAATGCCGCTGCTCCGGCGGAAAGTCAAAGGCTGCGCGGAGCTTGTAGAGGGCCGGTGCTCCAAGCCGATACAGATCACATATGGTCTGATAGTGGGCACAATGCAGCAAGCAAAGGGCGCCTAGCTGTGACGTATCTTTGCGGATGTAGATTGCTGCCTGTGTAAATTGTAGGCTTGGGGGCAATGCCGCATACCACGCCCTACAGTCGGAGTCTAAAGCTGAAAATTCGGACTTGGGATCCCAAGGCACGATGGCATCTCCAAGATGTTTGATATACCTGCTCGAATTCAAAGGTTTAGATCACGGAATTAAGAAAATGGACGGGAGCATCTGAAGTAACGCATACCTGAGAACCCTTTTCCGGATTGAGATGTGCCGGATGAAATATGCCATAATGCCCATGTTGGGCAACAGAGCATGGGGTTCAAAGTGTCCAGGGAGTATCTTCAGTCAACTCCCCGGGGAAAGGGTTTCTGTAAGACAGGGTAATTGTTGAGTGAAGTTGCGCTCGTTACAAGGAAGCTGAATCTTGATATCTCTTTCATCCATGAGGGTGAGTTGGTCAACTCCGCTGCCAACGAGGGCGTCCATGACATAACAACTCCCCATCAAACGTCTACGAGACTCCTTTTCAGTGACAGAAAGCCCCTCGACGTCGTCACGACATAGAATGTCCGTGTTGTATTCAAGGTTGATTTGCAATGCTTGCGTCATACGGGTGGTAATCCCACTCAACATGAACGCATTTGCAAAATTGCCTTGACGAACTGCATAGTCATGCAGTAGCACAGCTGCCTTGGAACATATTCAGATATGATTCATGAGACAAAAACGGGTAGGGCACGGAGAACGCACCATCAAGTTTTCGATTGTCACCGTGTCTAAAGCTTCAAGGATAAGCCGTTGGGTTACTCTAGCCCATTGCTTGCCCGCAAATAACACAGCCCTCGGGGGGAGAGTTTGGACACTCTCACTATGGTTCAGAGCAAAGAATCTATCAGACCGAATGAGCTGTTGAGCGTGAATAAAAGGAACATCTCCCAGGGCTTACTGAGCTCCAAGGGCACAAATAATATGCAGGAGAGCATGGCTCTGGTAGTCCTGAGACAGTTTACCGTCCAGCGTTTGGAGAAATGTCGGCTTGTGAATGAACGTGAAGGCACGAAGGGGATGAATGTTGTTGAAATATTCATCAACTAAAGTCCTGATCCTGGATGGTGAAGGAAGGTGCGGCGCAGCTAACCTGTGACCCTGCAAGCATTTGTGGAGGTAGAATCGACCCCGAAGAAACCAACCAGGCCAGTGAGGATGGCAGCAACTCCGAATTTTCAACGAGAAGACATGGCTGCTGTTGCTGCGGCTGTGGCGGAGGCGAAGCGTCCGCTAATCCAAGCAAATTATCTTGACTGGATTTTCTTTGCTCCGAAGATCGAACTGGCGAGGAAGTGACGGATGGAGAGAACTCTGGTTCGTTTGTGGCCCCTATATTGATCTTTCGCACCCAAGTAGGCTGTGATGACTCTGCGTAAACGCATCGTGCCTCTTTGTCTCGGCATCGCTGACATGTTGGTCGCTCCCCAGAACATTTGGTCTTTGAGGCACGACAACCGGTGCAAGACCTATAAGTTCGCTTTCTCTTCGAACGGTCGGAAGAGCTCGCATCACCAGGTGCGGGTGGCCTCGGTGATGTCGTGTAGCCAGAGCAGACTAGTCGCAAGCGCGAACAATTGTCGCATTTGCCCGGCTTTTCGTCACACTTGACCTGTGCAATAACCGTGTTAATTAGATCACATCCACATGATGCAAGTGTCTGGAGTATCTCACTTTACGAGCCCGACAAGTGCGACAGCCTGACGGGTCAGCAAAATTTACTACTGCATCTCGATGTCACTTACCAAAACGCGATCGCGATGTTTTGCTACCTCCCATTATGACAGATTGTGTCTAGAAAAAAGCCATAGAAGCATGGGCCGGAGTATCGGCGGATGGTCGGCTAATGTTATGGCGGGATGCGCATGCTGAATGACGCGAAGCGGAGAAAGTGGGGATTGCCAGGCACAGGTTCGTGCGTTGCAATAGCTAGCCCGCCATTAGAGATGTAGGAATATCCCCGCGTCCGAGGGACTCAAACCGAGGAATTCAGAGTCGCAACAACGTGTTGATGGATGTGCGAACGTTACTTCCGAGGTAAAATCCGTACTTATCAACACCGAAAGCTGGAGTTTGGAGCCCGATGCTGTTAGAAGTCCGTCAAATTGCTTGAATGGATATGATGGACAAGCGCGTCGAGAATTGACGGGCTTGGAAGGAATATCTTGCAAAGGCGTAGACAACCAAGGTCGCTGAAATGACTCACCAGGGCCAAAGGGGGAAATTGACGAGTTGTATATTGCCCCTCAATCCATACCGCCCGCCACACCGTTTTGGCCCCCATCTCTACATATTCCTCCCACATTCCGTACAGAGCCTCATGGTTTGTTCTCTACGCCCTATTTTTATTCCAGCTGGACCTGCCCGACGACATATTTATCAGAAGAAATGTTGAATTGAGAATTTGTCAACATTGCGAAACCGACCTCGATGATTCGTACTTTGTAGAATCTGTCCCTACACGACTCTATGCGGGACATGCGCAGGGGCATATCCTTCACATGGGTGATTGTACCCGAACCAAGAGCACGGGATCTTCAGGGTCACTGAGCTGCCTGTCTGCAATGATCTGAGCATTCCGTCAGTATCAGCCAAGCTGACGAAACTTCTCAAAGAACTTTCTCTACCAAACAAAGATGGATCTGGAAAGAGTCCGCCAAATGATTCCGTCGCACATCTGCAAGCAGTACCCAGAGACACCGGTGGACTTCCATTTACACTTCTTGGGTAACTGTCAATATTCGGTTTTGTTTTCTTTGGGGTGATAGCGGCTTTGTGTACCCGCTGGTATGCGTCGATGTGATCAAATTATTTAAATGCTTGATTCATGGTTTTATTTCCAAAGCCTTTTTTGTTCAAGCCCAGTTATTCCAAGGTTGCACTTTACACGCCTGAGAACATCACCTTTCCAGATCTGGTTCTAACCTTCCAAGGTTGGAACGGTCCTTTGGAACAAGATATATTTTTATATTTCATCTCCAAGGTCTTAGTAGTTTCAGATCTCTAGTTGCAAAATGAAGGCACGCAGTGTAATGGGTGGACTGCGAAATCTGATGTATCAACAAGCAGTCTACCTATGAATGTCTGATTCAGCAATGTCGCTATATATAACCCGACTTCGTACAGCCTTCGCATTCTAGAGATGCATGGATACTGCGAACCTCTATAGAACGAGCAAGAAAGTCCATTTCACCATCTTTTCGACTAGGCTTCATTCTTAGGAACACCTGGCAGCAGGGTGAAGCCTTTTCCACCCAGATCTACGAATACGAGAAACCCTGCTGCTTCGGTTTACGTTAATGAGACTGTGCATACTTAATAACTACGTGAAACCATCTTTTTGAATCTGGTGTTTTGATAGAAACCATGATGCAAGTTGCAGCTCCTGGGTCTCGTCCCGGTATTCTGGCTCCTTCATTTATGCCGTCGCCGTGTCGAGATTCGTCCGTTTCGTCCAGCTCGTCGAAATCACTTTTGTGCGCAAGTATTGAGAAAGTATCGAGGTATCGATCAAAATCCACGCTGTCATTCTGAAGCTTTGACTCCATGGTACATATGTGAATGAAAGAAGTCCGAGACCCTGTAGGGAGCACTCCGTACTCCGTAGATATCCCACGGTCGGAGTGGAGAGATGATCAGGGAGCCCCGCTACTGCAGGGGCTCGCGGCCCCCACCTGGGAGGATCATCGGCGGTGGCAAATGGCGGGGCTTTGCGGCTTGCCGCGTATAAAGCGGCATTATGCCCCCAGCGGACTTCCGTCAATACTTTATACCATGACTGGTTCAACTTTCACGCCCCTACCCTTTGAGCTTTGGGGATTAATCGCAGGCCATCTGTCAAATGCCGATATCAAATCTTTGCGCCTGACTTGTACCCAAGTGAACAATGCAGTCCCTCTTCGCATCGACCGAGTTTTTCTTTCCGCCAACCCACTTAACATAGAAGTCTTTCACAATATTGCCTCACATGAGAAGTTCCGTTATTCAGTGACCGAAGTAATCTGGGATGAAGCACGCTTGCCACGAGGCCCACAGCGAATCAATCAAACTTCCCAGGGGCACGAATTACTCTCAGACGATGATGAACCCAATAATACCAGAGAGTGGGCTAAAGTCTATTCTGAGTATTTCAGAGAAAATCTCATGAGCCAGCATGAACACGAGGAAGAAAGCAGATGTCCCAAATGGTTCAAAGACGCCTGTGAAGAAAACCTCCGAATCCTTAGGAGCCGAAAAGGAGCCGATGTTGATAGACCTGGGCATATTGCATGCAGAGAGCAGATTCTCGCTCAGCCTCCATTAGGGGAGTGCTGGAAACATTATCAACATTTACTTCGTCAGCAAAACGATGTCCTCACCGGCGATAGCGATTACGAAGCATTCGTATTTGGCGTGAAACAATTTACTGCTTTGAAAAGGGTCACTATCACACCAGTGGCTCACGGATACCTCGTCGACCCGCTCTACCCGACTCCGATGATTCGCGCATTCCCAAAGGGCTTTAACTATCCCATTCCGTGTGGCTGGCTATTCAGGACTGCGATATCAACATCTGCTACCTCGTATCCGTGGAACCATTATCCGGAACTCAGAGAAAGATACCGCGGATTCCGCAATGCCATGCGTGTGCTAGCCAATGAACCAAATTCTGTCTCTGAGCTCGTGATGATTTCCAACTTTGTCCCCACGGGAATCAACTGCACAATCTTCGATGAGCCATGTGAAGAGTATGAAAACTTTGCTAAAGTGCTTCAGAAACCGGGCTTTCGCCGTCTGTATATCTCACTGCTCGTTGGCGGAGAAGATGAATCAGATCTTGAACCATGCTGGCGATCTTTGCTCAACGGTCGTTTGCGCTGTGCACTCAGTGGTGCAACAGAAATGGAAGAGTTCAGGCTGCACACCACTTTCGACGAGGATATTCATGCTGGGGAACTATATCAAGTGATTCCTTTGAATGGCATTGTACCAGTGGAAAAATGGTCAAGTCTACGCCACTTTGCGCTGTCCGGCTCTGTGATCTCACAGGAAGACCTCGTCTCGTTCCTCAGCACCCTGCCAACGTCCATTAAATGCATTGAACTGAGCATGTTGGAATATCTTTTTGATGCAGACTTGTATACCTTACTGGAAGAGATTCGGCGAATGGTATCCGAGAAGACGTCATGGAGTGAGTTGAATGCCGCTTCCAGACCCACAATCACGTTCGGCACGTCAGATTCGTATGGGCAGCCCGAGAATTATGGAAAGGCTATATGGATTGAAAAGGAGATCCAAGATTTTCTGTACGGTGATGGGGAAAATCCCATTGAAGAATCACTCCCTCTTCAATTCCCAGATGGGATGGGCATGGTGAAAGACGCATTTGATACCAGTTATTAATGCCCGAACGTGAAATGGGATGATTTAGTATGGTCGAACATTTACAAGGAGGGCTTTGACCCATTTCAATACTGAGCGAAACTGATCAATTGGAATGACACTGCCCACGAGGATGGCCCGAGTATATCTAGGCCTCTTTCTTCTACACTGCTAAGATCATACTGTCTGTTTATCTTCCAAGAGCCAATTTTACTACTCGGGTGTCTAGTAAATGTGGTTAGCGGATTTGAAGCTTAGAAAACCGACAGATGACCAGCTTTCAGCCGCTAAGGAGAAGTGCATGGCCTTTACCTATATGAATGACCCAACCGTATGGAAGATGTTCTCCGACACATATGAAGCCATATATGATCGTCTTGGTGGATTCGACGATTACCACCCACAACAAAATACCGTAATTCCCTCTCTGCAGGATCAATGGCCTGAATCTATTGATGCTGTTCTCTACTCGATGGCTAATCGGGTGCAGGGGACTCTCAAACTGATGTTCTACAAGCGAGCGTGCGTATTTCACCTCTATGTTGCCCCATCATCAATACTAACCAAGATTGCAGGGCGAAAGTTAATATCCATTATATTTACTTCTGGGGACACAAAATGCTTCACAATTATTTCAAGCTCAAATTGCCTGGAAAGTGTCCAAACCTGCCTCGGTCTTAGGTTTGCTCTGGACAACTATTTCTTTCGCTTTATATTCACTCATTTTACATTCATCTTACTTCAGCTTTGAATTTTTTTCAATCTACTCTTTATTTTTAACATCGTAAGAGAGTTAGTATTTTCAGAGGTTGCAATTTCAAGGAACTCAAAGCCATCGACGAGGATGAAAGCCCCCGCCGCTCTATAATCGACTGGCGGAAGTTTTGGATGTAATTTCTCGCAGCAAAAAACAAAACAGAATATGACACGGATTCTCCAGATTCTCGACAAGCTTACAGATGTCTTGATGTCCAAACTAGTACTAGTGCAGTCGGAACGCGACCGTACGCGACCCAAAATAAATTGAACCCCGATCAGCGCGACATTGATCAACATCTCCAAGGCGGTATTCCCGTCCTCGAGATACAAGCCATGTTTGTTCGCCGGATATCACCAACTAGAAATCAGGCTGCTCTGTTGCAGTCTTGTCGGTCAATACATAGCCTGGGCGACATGCGAACATGCGAGCAGCGCCACCAGATCCGGGTCGGGCCGAAAGACTCCAGCATCAACAAGACTTTTGACATCTTGATGGAGATCCTCAAGAATCCAAAGCTGGGAAACCATGTACGGGAGATTGTGCAGACTAGACAGCCGAGCATGGAGCACCACTACGTCCAAACGGCAGAGCAGCGCGAGCTTAGTGCCGGGGACAAGAATCTCCTCCGCGCGGCTGTCTTGAATGCGGGTTTTGCTGGCCCCCAAGGAAGCGCGGTGCTCAACATGCTCATGCAAAACACCACGAGGCCTCCAGGCGAAAAATGGGAGCCTGGCAAGTTTACAGCCTCTGCGTATGGATGCGAGTAAGAAAGTTAACTTCGAAGTATTCTCTTGGCCGAGCGCTTACTAGACGAACAGCGATGGTCAAATCCACGGCACCTTCATTGCGCAGGCATTGGCCGCGATTCTCATCTCGGTGTCACCAAATCTGGAGTCCCTAGTTATGACACAGCCTTTTCATACATTTCCTGGGTTCTACAGGCATTTCGAGCGTCCCGAAGAGGATATTGTTCATTTCCCCCTCGACCAATTTCTCCGTCGGGCCAATGCAAACCCGAATAAAGTTCCGTATCTTCAGAATCTTCGCAAGGTGTACATGATAGTCGACGATAAGGCCTCGGACGACCGATTTTACATGGCCCTCGACTTATTGGAATGCGCAACGCTTTTCGACCGCCTCCCATCTATTGAATCCATTAGCACCGATGCTATCTGTGACGACGAAAATGAGGAGGTCCGCTTAACGCTAGAGTCCCGATCGTCTAATATCAGCAGAATCCATATCCGCCACTCTTCCCTCCCATCGCCATTTCTTGTCTCTCTCATTGAATCTTGCAAAAAGCTACGAGAATTTCAATACACCATGGGTGGTCGGTGCGTTCTAGGAGGTTGGTATGCACCGTTCGCTGCCAAGACCTTCATCAAATCAATTTTGTCGCACAATGACACACTAGAAGTTCTGGACATCGACGCCGAGCGCAACATACACTCCTTCCACCACTCCTATTTTGATGATGGCCTGGTTGACCAGAGAATCGAAGAAGAAAGGCTCGAGACTCTTGATGATGAGGAGGAAAGTGGAGATTATGAACGTCAGATGCTGCAGTCCATTTCGAAGAACAGTGGGTCATTGAAGGACTTCCGGGCCTTGAAGCGATTGAATGTGGGCATCGGGTTTTTGATATATTTTGCCATGGGTGTCAGGGAAAGTAACGAGCCAAGGAAACCATTTCTGCTGCCGGACGTTCTCCCCGAGAGTTTGGAATACCTTTGCATTCGGGGGTACAAGAAAGGGAAGTGCAAGGTGTGGGATACGCATATTGATGCCTTGGTTGCATCCTTTGTCTCGGGCTCATCGGGGATCAAGGAGATCACAGGAATCGAGGAAATGATTGCCAATTCTGAAGATGTGGACAACCCAGACGATGACGACCACTTGCTGTGGGTTCCGACATATACCTGTTGATGACTACTTAGGAGGCTCAAGGATTTTCTGCCTTCGAATTTCCTCCGAACTTGTCTTGAATACAAAATTTGTGTAAAGGCTGCTGTTATGCGCCAATCCGATTATGGTAGAAGGGTACGTCAATTCTAACTAGAGTACGGAGTACTCCGTACAACTAAAAAACCGCGATTTCGACTAAAAAAACGGCGCTAGTAGTTTTTTCCAACTTGGCCTCTATTATGAACTATTCATTTCGCTCCAGTATTGGGTTCAGCATAGTATTTTAAAATACTACATAGCCCCCAGGCTTGGCGCTCCGGTGGATCAGCATACTAGATTAGTCTTGGCAGCCCGCAGAATCAAAGCTATTCGCACCCCAACCCGTGGACGTCTTGGACACAATTCACGGATAATAAAGAAGAAGAAACCTTGGAAGGAGACTACTTTGATGTAAAGGATAACTTATGGACTTGGTGGTTGATAGAACTGTACGAGTTCCATGTTCTGAGGATCGGTCATAGGAAGTCACGTGTGGGTCAGATGACCCAACCCGGGATGACTGCACAAAAGGGGCCTTCCCCGCTTTAACTGATGCTCCAAGAATCAGTCTCGAACCAACCCCGAATAGACCCTGATTCCATAGTGCTTCCTGAATACTATCTTTCTTGTTTCTCTCTTAAATCATCGTATCCTTCCTTGCTTTACCAACAGGGTAATACACCTGCAAACGTATAATCTTTGCAGCCATGAGGAATTTGAGTCATGATGCCTATACTGTTGGCTGGGTGTGTGCCCTCGACTGTGAGCTCAACGCCGCTCGAGCGCTGCTGGATGAAGAGGATGAGCCCTTGGAGCCAGCTTTGCACGATGAGAATCTCTATCTCTTGGGGAGATTCGAAAGCCACAATGTTGTTATCACCTCGACTAGCGGCTATGGAATGACACCGGCTACTCAAGCCGTGACAAACCTTATCCGATCGTTTCCGAATGTACGTTTTGGTTTGATGGTGGGAATTGGCGGAGCGGTGCCTTGCGAACCAAATCTCGCTGAACCAATGAAAGACATTCGTCTTGGGGATATTGTTGTCAGCGAGGCTAAAGGAAATCACGGTTAGCGATACTTCTTCTTGTCTGCTATGGATTCTCGTTAATAGTGAGGATTGTTTCCTCGCAGGCGGCGTATTAAACTACGATATGGGAAAATGGAAGAATGACAAGGAATTCTCAATTGAATCACATCTGAACAGCCCACCCGGTATCCTACGACAGGCAGTGACCCAGCTACGATTGGACCAACGATTTCGGAAAGGAAAAATGCCGCAATTCATAGAACAGGCGATCAATCTGCTACGAAGTTTATCTGACGTGGACGACCCTTCTTTCCCGGGTTGGGAGGAAGACCGGCTTTTCAACTCCTGGTATGACCACGTGAATTCAGCACATCAAGACTGCCGTGAATGTGACTCCACGCAAACAATCGAACGTTCGGCTCGGCCTTCGAACAATCCGGTGGTGCATTATGGGCTTATTGCCTCCGGAAATGCTGTTATGCGATCAGCCACATTGCGAGATCGTCTTCGCGACGCATGGAACGTGAAGTGCTTTGAGATGGAAGCCGCGGGCTTGATGAATCATTTCCCTTGCCTTGTTATCCGTGGATTATGCGATTATTCCGACAATCACAAGGCAAAAAGATGGCAGTCCTATGCCGCAGTAGCTGCCGCTGCTTATGCCAAAGATCTTCTTCGCGTTATCGGGGTGGGGAGAATAAAAACTACGGAGGTTGCAACTGAGAATATGAGAGATGGCAAATCCACCCGATCATATATTTGAGACGATGATAGCTAACTGAGGAGACAGTCATAAACGCGATCAGCCACGTGGATGATGGTGTTCAGGAGCTGAAAAAAACCATTGATGACGCCTACAGAAAAAAGGTTCTAGACTGGCTCAGTCTGATAGACCATGAAAGTGAGCAAAGTGACTTCCTCGCCTCACGACAGGAAAGCACTGGTCAGTGGTTTTTGAACTCCGAAGAATTCCAGCGGTGGCTCAACGAGCCTAATCAAACACTACTCTGCCAGGGTATTCCCGGGGCTGGAAAGACCGTAATGGCATCTATAATCGTTCATGATCTGCACCGACGACTCTCGCAAGTCAATGGTGTTGGTATCACCTACGTGTACGGCAATTTCCTCCGCCGCAGTGAGCAACAGCTCCCAGCCATTCTCTCCTCCCTGCTCAAGCAACTATGCCAATCGCTCCACGACCTACCGGCTTGTGTTACCGAGGCCTATGAGCGTTTCTGGACCCATCGTATCTTTCCATCATCGGAGAAACTTCTTCAGATGCTGGGAACGGTGATGGCCTCGTGTCAAAGAGCATATGTCGTTGTCGACGCCTTGGACGAGATTGATACTTCAAACAGCACTTGCCGTCAGCTGCTTGCTGCTCTATTCAGGCTGAAAAGTCTCGCTTCTATGAACTTCCTGGCGTTGTCACGGCATGTAGCGGATATTTCAGGCATATTCAGGAGGAACGGCAGTCATTTTGTGGAGATTCGGGCGCTCGATAATGACATCCGCTGTTACGTCGATGCACAACTAAACAGAGCACGTCCCTTCGTGTCGGAAGATCGTGATCTGAGATTGAATATCAGAGAAACGATTGTCTGTGCCGTGGACGGGATGTAAGGACACATGGATAGGCAACCGATCACCAGAGAAGATGCTAATCCCACCCGGAATAGGTTCCTCCTTGCAAAGCTGCACTTGGACTCTCTGAGTGACAAGGTCTGCAAAGGCGATGTCAAAAGAGCATTAAAAAGTCTTCCAACTGGATCGGATGCGTATGATCGGGTTTACGACGAATCCCTAGTCCGAATACAGAGTCAGACAGAAAATCTCAAGCACCTTGCTATGCGAGCGTTAATGTGGACCATCTGCTCGAAGGGGCCTCTCAATGTTGATGGGTTACAACAAGCTCTTGCTATTACAAGCACAACAAAGACCTTGGATGTAGACAACATCCCTGATATAGATCTGGTGATCGAGGTGTGCTCGGGATTGATCAACTTCGACGAAAAGAGTAAGGTCATTCGACTCGTGCATTTTACCGCACAGGAGTACCTACAGCGCAAGTGGAAACAGTGGTTCACTGGTGCGCATTCTGAAATTGCTTGGGTTTGCGTCTTCTACCTTTCGCTAGGGAAGTCCAAGGCAGGGAAGGGCTCGGATGTGCCCAACAGTCAATCGTCATCTTTTCATCACTACGCTTCTACAAATTGGAAGTATCATGCACAGTTCAACCCGACTGAGGATATATTCACCCTTCGCTTACTTGTTGACCCGTTCATTGTCGCCTATTGGAATAAGACAACAATTCCACGGTGCCATTGTGGCAATGGAAGCTCCAGTAGTTGCTTCACGGCTCCTACAAATGCGTCTCCCTTGCATTTCGCAGTTCATCATGGAACAGAGACATCAGTCAAACTCTTACTTCAAAATGGTTCGGACTGTCACAAGAAAGACAAATATCAACGAACTCCCCTGTCTTGGGCAGTCGAAAGATCCGTCGTACCCACGACTCTAGCCCTGCTCGACGCAGGGGCCAATGTCAATCATGTTGATATGTTTGGTGGGACACCTCTATCATATGCCGCAGTAATGGGAAGCCCTGAAATAGTCAAACTTTTACTACAAAGAGGGGCCAAAGTCGACAGGAAGTGTCACGCTGGAGAGACACCTTTTGACAGAGCCTGTGCTCGGGGGAAAAGCAAAAGCCGAGACGCTATCATCGGGATTTTTCTAGCCCATGACGCTGCCTTAGTAGCTAAGAGTATGAGCCTTGTTGTTGACTTTGAAGAGATGACGGAACTGGCAAGATTGCACAAGCGGCAGGATTTCGCTCGGGAGATTGAGAAACGTTCTTCGAAATTCCAAAGCGCCTCACTTCTTGCGTCATCGCGCAACGGCAATCTCGGCGATGTCAAGCGTTTGCTGAGAGAGGGCGCGAATCCCGACTACAGAGACCCACCCTGGGGCAGGTCCCCCCTTTCTCAAGCAGCTGAGTATAACAGGACTGCTGTTGTCACTCATTTGCTAGAGAGTGGCGTCCATCCAGATATGCTTGACACAAATGGGTTCGCAAATTCCCAACGCAACGCGGGCAGAACTCCTCTGATGTGGGCCATCAGCAACGGTCATGTCCACCCCTTTCGTGAACTTCTGAAACATGGCGCAGATCCAGAAAAGGGGGGCCACAGCAAGAATAAAGGAGGAGCTCTCCATTGGGCTACAGAACTTGGTCGTACGGAGATGGTTAGAATTCTGCTAGAAAAGGATCCCCAAATCAACGCCCGCGACAGCCAGCATCTTCGGACGCCTCTGACCTGGGCCGCAGAAAAAGGTCATCTACAGCCAGTCAAGCTTCTCTTGAGCCACGGAGCTGATCCCAAGGTTCCCGATAAACATGCTCGACAACCTCTCACACGGGCCGCAAAAAACGGATATCTTGAGATTGCAAAGCTTCTCATCGAGGCTGGCGCGGATATTCTAGCCAAAGATCAACATGGATGGACGCCACTTCATGCAGCCGCATACAGTGGTCATTTGAATATCTGCAAGTTTTTGGTGGAAAAGGGAGCTGAAATCAATAATGGCAACAAAGACCAGTGGACTCCTCTCCATGAAGCTGCACATCGTGGTCATATTCATGTTAGCAAATTCTTGCTGGAGCACCATGCCAAACCAGAGCTGGTAGATAACCGAGGAAGATCGCCAATTTATCTTGCAGAAGCAAAGGGTCATCTCGAATTGGCTAAGGTGCTACGCAAGCATGGGATTGACCATAAAAGTGCAGTCGATGTGGCGAAGTGACCGTGTTGGACATATGGAACACGCTACGGTTAGATCACCATTTTAAAAATGACCAATTTCGGCTTGATCTCAATTCATAGGACCGCAAAGCTCGTAATATGGCTCATACCTAGGTAGTCTGTGTTACCTCATATTTCGCCTAGTCATATCTATCCTACAGGGGTTGTAATTGTTATTGTTGCTATTATTAATATCCGGCTGTGAAGGGCTGTAGCTGAATTGATATAATTGAACTAGGCCAATATACTGTCTTTGATAATCTTGAAGAAGAGAAGCTATCTGGTATTTCGAGCTAACCTGTTGAGGAGAAAGGGTGTATCTATTTAAATAACTAAATATGGAGAAGAGAAAGAAAGAGAGAAAGATCTAAGCGTAAGCTAACCTTTTTCCCTATCCCATGGGTGGGTGGGATTCCAGCCCTGGAATCCCCACGCGGGTCACTCTGTAGCCAACCAGCGACATTCAATACAGATCCACTTTAGCCAAACCCCCCCCCCCCCCCCCCCCCCCCCGCCCCCCCCCCGGCGGGGGGGGGGAACCCCCCACCCCCCCTGGAGGACACCTTCCATTCCTTTTTATAAGTTTATTATTTAATATTTTTTTTACCCCTTTTTTA